GCAGGCGTCAACCAGCATGACCGCTTGGCGTGAGCAGATCGAAGCATTTTGCTGTCAGTCTTATTTACAGGTCAACAACCTGCTACCCGTTTTTCGGTTGGTCGCACCGAAGCACAGTGAAATGAATTCCTCGCTAAATTGAGTTAGCACTTAATAAGAGAAAATTTACAACGCGCGTTGCGTTTCAGTTTGTGACCTCTAAAGTTTTAAACAACCTACTAGTGCGTAGAACCTACTTATGTCAATGTCCCCAGGTTGCTGTTGCTAAACCTGTCGAAATAATGGGAGTAACTTGTTGTGAAAAGTGGCAGAAATAACTTAGAAGAAAAGTTTGAACTTTAATATTTCCTACGTCTGAAACAGTCTTAAAAAATATTTTCCCCCGCTTCCTGTGATGTACCTTAGGGATAGCTTTGATAGTAGCTTGAATTTCACGCCCTCTAATATCCATCCTAAGCATCCTTTTCGCGGTGAGCTTGAAAGATTAAAATAAGCGTTGATACGAGACGGCGAGGTACGGTTAAATCTATACCCCTGAGCTGCTCGGATATCCACCAGTGTTTGTAGTGATGCAATGATTAATCCTCAACGCGCTTTTTGTAGTCCGGTTGACGAAGCTGCTCATACTCTAGACTCAAAACTGTCTCAAACAAGAACATATTCTCTGTAAACTCGGAGGGAAGGATTTGGAGGCGGCGGTCTGTATTAATCCCTAGCTGAATGTGTTTTGAACAGTTTTTTCGTTGTGCCAATAATCATGCCAAGGCATTCGAGAAATGTGGCCATGCAAATTATGGCAACCACAAACTCGCCTTTGCCCATCAGCTAGCTGATTGTATCTATTGTAAAGTGCAAGCTTAAGTTGAAAAAATTTTTATTTAAAATTAATTTTTTCTCTCTCGCAAACCCGAGTAGTCAAAACCGAACAAATCCGGAGTAAGAATTTTTCTTAACTTATAATATTTATTTCATATTTCATTCAAAGAAGCAGCATTAACAAACAACACAAACAGCCAAGAAAGTATCTGCTCATCATGGCTGCCATTCTTACCTCCAAATATTTGTTATTAGGATTTATTAACATCTTTACTCTTCGTTTTAACATCTTTTGCATTCCAGTTT